TACGACCCTGCCAGGAGCCTGGAGCACAACCTGCAGCTCCCAGCGGCGCTGCTGTCCAGGTTTGACCTGCTCTGGCTGCTGCAGGATCGGCCTCAACGGGACAGGGACCTCAGGTGAGGGACACAGAGACATGGGATGACATTTGGGATCTGTGAGAGGGGATTTGGGCCCTGCTGTCCAGGTTTGATCTGCTCTGGCTGCTGCAGGATCGGCCTCAACGGGACAGGGACCTCAGGTGAGGGACTGGGATCTGTGAGAGAGGGTTTGGGATCCATGGGATGACATTTGGGATCTGTGAGAGGGGATTTGGGATCCATGGGATGGGGTTTGGGACCTGCTCTGGCTGCTGCAGGATCGGCCACACAGGGACAGGGACCTCAGGTGAGGGACACAGAGACATGGGATGGCATTTGGGATCTGTGAGAGGGGGTTTGGGATCCATGGGATGGGGTCTGGGATCCATGGGAGGGGGTTTGGGATCCATGGGATGACATTTGAGACATGTGGGAAGGGGTTTGGGATCCCCAGGAGAACTTTGGAATCCTCAGGAGAACTTTGGGGGGGTCTCCTGACCTTGTGGGACCCCCCAAAATTCCCCCATTCCCCAACATCCCACAGCCTCCCAGTCCAAACCAGTGCCCACCAGTGCCCTGGGGCTGGGCCTGAGACCCCCCAGGACCCTCCCAAAATTTGGGGGGGGTCTCCTGGATTTCTGGGACCCCCAAAATTCCCTTTTTTCCCCCCAGACTGGCCCAGCACGTGACGTACGTGCACCAGCACTGCCGGCAGCCCCCCAGCGCAGCACAACCCCTCGACATGAAGCTCATGAGGTGGGTGAGACACCCCAAAAATACCCTAAAACCACCCCAAAAATACCCTGAAAACACCCCAAAAATACCCTCAAAATCACCCCAAAAATACCCTCAAAATCGCCCTGAAAATAGCCTCGAAATTGCCCCGAAAATACCCTAAAATCACCCCAAAAATCTCCTCAAAAACAGTCGAAAAGTACCCTCAAAATCACCCCAAAAATACCCTAAAATCACCTCAAAAACAGTTGAAAAGTACCCTCAAAATCACCCCAAAAATAGCCTCGAAATCACCCCAAAAAATACCCTCAAAATCACTCTAAATTAGCCTCAAAATCACCCCAAAAATAGCCTCGAAATCACCCCAAAAATTTCCTCAAAATCGGCCCAAAAATAGCCTCAAAATCGCCCCGAAAATACCCGAAAAATCACCCCAAAAATATTCTCAAAATCATCTCTGAACACCCAAAAAATACCCTCGAAATCACCCCCAAAAATAGCGTCAAAATCACCCCAAAAATATTCTCTGAACACCCAAAAAACACCCTCAAAATAACCCCAAAAATATCTTCAAAATCCTCTCTGAACACCCAAAAAATACTTCTCGAAATCACCCCCAAAATATCTTCAAAATCACCCCAAAAAAGTGTTTTTGAGGAGAACTTTGGGGCTGTTTTTGAGGAGATTTTCTGTATTTTTGGGGGTGTTTTGAGCAGATTTTCTGGGTGGTTTTCGGGCTGTTTTGAGGAGATTTTTTGGGGAGTTTTTGAGGAGATTTTTTGGGGAGTTTTTGAGGAGATTTTTTGGGGTGTTTTTGAGCAGATTTTCTGGGTGTTTTTGGGGTGTTTTGAGGAGTTTTTTGGGGGTGTTTTTGAGGAGATTTTTGGGATGTTTTTGAGCAGATTTTTGAGGTGTTTTGAGGAGGTTTTTGGGGTGGTTTTGAGGAGATTTTTTGGGGTGTTTTTGAGCAGATTTTCTGGGTGTTTTTGGGG